GCCAGGTTGTCCCCTAGCAAGTGACTAACCGACATTAATATCGACAACCTGGTTTTTTACTTGAAAACCCATCCAAGTAGACATCTAGTGGAATATTTGTTTACAGGATTCACGGGTCTCGTAGCCATTCCCTCAGGCACACTGGAATGTCCCAATCTCCTATCAGCCTGCCTAGACCCAGAAGCTCTCCTTTCAGCCGAAATAGCACAAGGTTTCATGATCGGCCCCTTCACCTCCTCACCGTTTTCCTCCTGGTGCACTAATCCCATTGGCATAGCTGTGCACAAATACTCGAATAAAAAGCGCATGATTATCGATTTATCCGCTCCGCACTCTTTTGTTCCCAGCATTAACGCACTCATACCCACAGACGAATTTTCACTACAGTATGTAAAAATTTACAACCCTATACAAACCATCATTTCAACTGGCAGCAACGCTTGGCTTAGCAAAACAGATATAACCAATGCATTCAAATTACTGCCCATGCACCCATCACTTTGGCACTTGCACGGTGTTAAATGGTGAAACAGGTACTATTTTTCCACGCGACTCACTTTCAGGTCAAGAAGCAGCCCTAAACTGTTTGATATTTTTGCAGAAACTCTATGCTGGCTGCTTCTGAACATTCTCAGATTCTACTAAACTTACTTTCTTGGGGATAGAGCTGGACTCTGGTACTTTCCGCGCCAGCCTTCCCCCCAACAAACTGGTCCACTTGAGAGGGGAGATAGACATGTTCCTGCGGAATGATGTATGCACCAACTTCAGTCCTTATTGGGGTCCCTGAATTTCGCGATGTGCATCATTCCGCAGGGAAGGTCTTTTGTATATATTTTCGCAGAAACTCTATGCTGGCTGCTTCTGAACATTCTCAGATGTCACGCTGTCATTCATTATTTGGATGACTTCCTTATAATAGAACCGGGCACACGCACACCCACCGATATCCTCAGCACCTCAGCTCTTTTCTCCACTCTCGGGGTACCTTTGTCTCCCTCTAAAACGATTGGCCCCACTACTAAACTTACTTTCTTGGGGATAGAGCTGGACTCTGGTACTTTCCGCACCAGCCTTCCCCCCAACAAACTGGTCCACTTGAGAGGGGAGATAGACATGTTCCTGCGGAATGATGTATGCACCAGAAAGGAACTTCAGTCCTTATTGGGGTCCCTGAATTTCGCGATGTGCATCATTCCGCAGGGAAGGTCTTTTGTATCCAGGCTTCTTTGTCTGCTTCATGGGGTACCGGACGCCTGCCCAATTGCGTTGGACCAGCACGCCAAAGCTGACCTACTCATGTGGAGGAAGTTTTTGACTGAGTGGTATCTCCATGTTTATTCCCCCTCTCTCTGACTCCTCACCCTGCATTTACACTGACGCTGCAGCCAACATGGGTTTCGCAGCTATATTCGGTAATCACTGGTTTAGGGGTCACTGGCCCACTGAGACGGATGCCTTGTCGGGTTTCAGAGAGACTTCAGCCCTATTTGAAATTTACCCCATCGTGGCGGCCGCACACACCTGGGGTCATCTCTGGTTCGGCAAGGCAGTAAAATTATATTCCGACAACTCGTCAGCTTGCGATATCATTAACAAGGGGCGCTCTTCCTCCCTTACCATCATGCAGCTGATTCGCAAGCTGACCTGGCTGGCCATCCAATTCCACTTAATTTGCTTTCACATTCCGGATATCCACAACACAGCTGCTGATGCTCTGTCTCGATCTCAATTCCAGGTATTCTTGAATGATATCTAATGTAGTATTTATCATTATTAATACAGCGTGCTGTTGAAAGATATATAATGTACCATTTATCATTATTAATACAGCGTGCTATTGAAAGATGTATAATGTAGTGTTTATTATTATTAATACAGCGTGCTATTGAAAGATATATAATGTAGTGTTTATCATTATTAATACAGCTTGCTATTGAAAGATATATAATGTAGAGTTTATCATTATTAATACAGCGTGCTATTGGAAGATTTATAATGTGGTGTTTATCATTATTAATACAGCTATTGGAAGATATATAATGCAGTGTTTATCATTATTAATACAGCTGTTGTAAGATATATAAAGTTTCCCCCTGTACACCTTGGGAAGGGGGATCATGACTGCTGCCCATGTATGGGGGGGAGGGGGGCTGGACTAAATTGGATAAAATGTTGCAAAGATATGGGGTTTGGGGAGAAGAGTGGGGAGGAGACTTACCAGTCAGCAGAGACTCTGGAAGGAAACTGGTGAAAATTTCTGTGCTGGCTGGATTAGGCCCTGTTTGAAAAGAACGTTTGTTAGTTCCCTGAATTGCAACCTGTCACCCTGTGCCCCCTCCACATACCCACACGCATGACCCACATGTCGGAACCTGATCTGCTGAGGCTGCTGCAGGAGAACCAGGTCTCCCATGGTCTGAGAGCGCTGGAAGCGTTGATGTCCGGTGTTATGGCGGTCCCTGGGACTGGCCCTGAGGCGGCTGTGTCGGTGGATGGAGCTGGCAGCGGAGGGCCCGGCTTCCGTCACGCTTATCGCCAAGTCTGGTTCGACACGGTGAGAAGAGAAGTCGGCGGAGTCGGGAGAACAGAGGTGCCGGAGCTGCGGTGGCGACGTCCCCAGCTCTGGAAGGAGGTCGGAGGAGAAGGTCCCGGCCGGTCAGAGTGGAGAGGACCCAAGATGGCGGCGAGAAAGATGGCGCCGGCATCACCGGAAGATCGCGCAGTCCGCGCGCTTCTCTTCCGGCTCCACAGGAAGTGATGTCGGCACGCACGGCACGTAGCGTGCGTGCGTCCTCCAATGAGGTCATCTCGCACAGCGGGTACGTGACGTTGCCGCGGTGAGGAGCGCGGACGTCACAGACTGTGCGGTTGCAGAGTGCACCGGAAGATTTACCCAGGAGCAGGAGAGCCGGACCGCGGTTGGGCCAGTCAGGCTACCGTGGGTCCCCGGAAGTATCAGAAGGATGGAGTGCAGAGTCGACATCAGATAATGAGGAGTTCCATGGAGTCCCAGGGCCAGGTCCTGTCCCAGCGCCCAGTGAGTATTGCGCTAGCGCTTGTGTGTAGTGAATGCAGAGTGTGTGTCAATGTGTAGTGAATGCAGAGTGTGTGTGTGTTAGTGTAGTGAATGCAGAGAGTGTGTTAGTGTGTAGTGAATGCAGAGTGTGTGTTGTACTAGTGTATGCAGAGTGTGTGTCAGGGTAGTGTATGCAGAGTGTGTTGTATTAGTGTATGCATTGTGTGTGTCAGTGTAGTGTATGCAGAGTGTGTGTCAGTGTAGTGTATGCAGTGTGTGTGTCAGCGTAGTGTATGCAGTGTGTGTCAGTGTAGTGTATGCAGTGTGTGTGTTGTACTAGTGTATGCAGTGTGTGTGTGTCAGTGTAGTGAATGCAGAGTGTGTGTCAGTGTAGTGGATGCAGAGTGTATGTCAGTGTAGTGGATGCATTGTGTGTGTCAGTGTAGGGAATGCAGAGTGTGTGTCAGTGTAGTGGATGCAGTGTGTGTGTCAGTGTAGTGTATGCAATGTGTGTGTCAGTGAAGTGGATGCAGTTCGTGTGTCAGTGTAGTGTATGTAGTGTGTGTGTCAGTGTAGTGAATGCAGTGTGTGTGTGTGTCAGTGTAGTGGGTGCAGTGTGTGTCCGTGTAGTGGATGCAGTGTGTGTGTCAGTGTAGTATATGCAGTGTGTGTCAGTGTAGTGGATGCAGTGTGTGTTTCAGTGTAGTGAATGCAGTGTGTGTGTGTCAGTGTAGTGCATGCAGTGTGTGTGTTAGTGTAGTGTATGCAGTGTGTGTGTCAGTGTAGTATATGCAGTGTGTGTCAGTGTAGTGTATGCAGTGTGTGTGTCAGTGTAGTGTATGCAGTGTGTGTGTAAATGTGCAATCTGCAGAGGGGGAGGGGTGGGGAAAGGGGCATTTTCAAAATAATTTTATATGAAATGAAATGTTTCTCCCCCCTCCCTGCTTACCTGTGTCCAGGGAGGGGGGAGATTCCATCCCTGGTGGTCCGGTGGAATGGGGGGCCCCCCGGCTCCCTGTTACTGCAGAGGGGGGCTTAGCACACAGTTCATTGCTAGTACTCTCGCGAGAGTTATTGGAGGCAATGATGCAGTGTGAAGAAGCTGTGTGCTGGGCCCCTCTCTGCGGTAACAGGGATCCGGGGGCCCGCGGCTGCACACATAGACAGTGATATTCGCTATCTATGTGTGCAGAGAGGGAATGTGGGGCCCGGGACTGCCAGAGCAGTCTGGGCCCCCCAGGACCGCTGGGCCCGTGACAACCATCATGGTTGTCACCCCCTGATGGCGGCCCTGATCACTGGGCGTCTCCGGGACGATCTCCAGACTTGGGGTTTGTTCTTGGGGACATACAACGGGCATTCCTGCTGGTTGCGGTCTGCTATTTCCAATGTGGACTTGGAATTGTTTACAGATGCCTCGGGGTCTGTGGGCTTCGGTGCATACTACCAGGGACATTGGTGTGTGGAGCGTTGGCCTCAGGACTGGCGTGGCAGTGAGCTCATGGGTAATTAGATTTTCCTGGAGTTTTTTTCCCATTGTGGTGGCGGTGGAGCTGTGGGGTGGTGAATTTGCCAATCGAAAAGTGATTGTTCACACGGACAACTTAAGCGTGGTGCATGTGATCAATCGCTCCACGTCTGCCTCTCCCCTGGTGTTAGCGCTGCTTAGGCGGTTAGTCTTGCTGTGTCTGCAACGTAATGTATGGATTGTGGCGCGTTACGTTCCTGGCACCTTGAACGTTATAGCCGACTCTCTGTCTCGGTTTCAGTGGGACCGATTTCGAGAGGCGGCCCCGGAGGTGTCACACACAGGGACGCCATGCCCGAAGGACATATGGGAACTGTTTTCAGACAGAGGCGAATGGTGAGGGATTCGTTATCGGAGTCCACCTGGTCCGTGTATGTGTCGGTTTGGCAACGGTGGTGCAGTGCGGGGTCCATTGAAGATCTTTCGTCGGAGGAGGGGAGATTGGGTAACACGCTGGCTCTTCTGGAGTCCTTATGTGCAGCAGGTAAGTCGGCGGCGGACACATGGCGTCACTTGGCCGCCCTATCCTTTTTATTTCAAAGGTTTGGTTGGCAGGATGCTACAAAGGCCTTCTGCATTGCGTGGGCCTTGAAGGGTGGGAAGAAGAGCCATCGCCCTGATGCGCGACGACCCATCTCCTTCGAGGTTCTGGGTAGGTTGTTGGAATTTCTGCCGCAGGTCTGTTTTTCGGGGTATGAGGTTCTACTGTTTCGGGTGGCTTTTTTGTTATGCTTTTTTGGAGCCCTTCGGGTCAGGGAACTGGTGACCCCTTGGGCCAGTGGGCCAGCGGCGCTGCTACTGTCGGATATCTCGATCTCTGACGGTGGGTTGGTGCTGTTAATTCGACGGTCTAAGACGGATTCCAAGGGAGTGGGTGCGCGAGTTCTCATAGGCAGGACAGGCGGTCCGTTTTGTCCCGTTGCGATGGTCCGAGAGTTCCTGACAGCATCTTCATCAGGAGGGGACTTTACTGAGTCGTTTCCAATTTTCGCGGGTTCTGCGGTCCTGTGTGAGAGGAGTGGGGTTGGATCCCTCCTCTTATACTACCCACTCCTTTCGCATTGGGGCAGCGACCCAAGCCAGCATGATGGATACGCTTAAGCACTTGGGCAGGTGGCAGTCAGGTCGTTTTCAGCTGTATGTTCGGCCTCATATGTTATAACCGACTCCCTGTTCTTCTTCTTGTTGTCTGTTTTCGCAGGCGTGGTTACCAGATATGTATGGATCCTGGGCCATTCCTATGTTTATTGGGCGGCTAAACGGGCCGAAGCAAGACCATATGGGCGTAATCTGGGGTTTCCATGTGAGTTAGTGCGAATTCGTTGGAGGGGTTTGAGGGGTTTGTCGTGGGCTCAGATGTATGCAGAGTGCGTACAGCTTAGTCGGTACGTGTCGGGGCCGGTCACATTAGTGCTCCATGAGGGTGGGAATAACATTGGTCGTAGGAGGTCAATTGATTTGATCCATGAGATGAAGCAGGACATTGCCTGTTTTATTGCCCTCTTTCAGGAGCTGACCCTTATATGGACGGAAATAATTCCTCGGCCAGTTTGGGGGGTTTCGGGAAAAGGTAGGCCCATGGAACATTGCCATCACAAAGTCAATATGACTATTGCGAGATTTGTGCGACGGCTGGGAGGGTTGGTCATTCAGCACGTGGAGCTAGAAGGGGATAATTCTAATGTTATGAGGAAGGATGGGGTCCATTTATCTACCATTGGGTTGGATATCTTCAATGTGTGTTTACAGTCGGGATTGGAGGCTGCACTGTCTGCGGGGGGCGCGATGCCGGGACGGTGTTGCGCGCAGGGGGTAGCATCGCGGTGTCAGGATCACTGGACAGCGCAACTGGGAGTAAAGGAGAAAGACACGGAGTCGAGTTGGGGAGACGACAGACCGCACAAGGGCTGATGGCAAGTGCCGGCTGTTGAGGCTCTTGGGAAAAAGAGGTGGAGAACTTTCTGTTGGGTTAACCGCCCAACAGCTGACAGGTCATGGTTATTGGATTTGAATTAAGTTAATAAAGCTGTGACCGTTGCCCTTATCCACAAGAAAAGTGTGTGGTGTCTTATTGGGAGGGCAACGGGAAGGTAAAAGGAGGATGGGTCAGTGAAACAAAATGCCTTTTGTCACTGGAATTTTTTTTTTTTTTTTTAATTCTTTATTTTTCTTGTGCAGATGGTTACAGCAAGCCAGTAGAGCCACAATAGCATCTACAAGTAAATTTAAAGCATTTCACATTGTGGCTGTGTAGTCGGCACAATTTTTATATTTAGAAAATGAACAGGCTAAAACAACGTTTAAATAACATGCTACAATAAGTATATTTTTAACAAAGCTAGGCACGCTTAAGGTTAGGTAGATGTGACTCAGATGTAGTGCGACATGAGTGTCTCAAAAAACAGTGAGAAGATTTTGTCACTGGATTTTTAGGTGACAAGCTGCCCTTTGTCCCTGGCTGTTGGAGGAGCCTGAGTGCCAGCCTCCTGCCTCATGACTATGGCCCTGGGTTGTATAGCCCTTTACAAACATTAGAAATGGAGCAGAGAAGTTGCAACATAGGAGTTAGAAAAGTTATAGGCAGGGAAAAGAGAGAATTGTTGTTAACTGATAGTAAGAAGTGAGATAACTAGCTCAGCTTTACTTTTGTACCTAAGGAATGTAAAAGAAAGGGAATAAAATAAAAAAGGAGAGTAAGCAGTGTTTAGTTTGGCTCATAAATTAAGTTTTGTTATCTTATAAAATAAAAGGAAAAAAATAAGTAAAGGAAGGAGAAGGAGAAAATAAAAAAAGGGAAAAAGAGATCCTTGATATAGTGATATACTATAAGGAAGGTAAAGAAAAAGAAGGCAGGAAAGGGATTTCTTTTGATGGTGACACTTAACCGAATTTACCTTTCCTCAATCTCTTCCTCTTCTCCCCCTCTCTCAGGATCTGTTATTATTTTCTTCCTGTCTTCTTTAGTTTTCTTTAAAATCATAAGACAAAGTAGGGACTCTTTGCCTTATGGAGGATTCCTCCGCTTGACCAGCTCTGACCAGCGGAGGAGCAAAGTGTGCTTCATTTCCGCTGGTCAGAGCAATTTTCCCATGATCCTTACCTTCCCTCTGTGTTCCCATGATGCTTCCTGTCACTTTACACTAAACTGCCGAATTGCGTTCTAACTGAATGAGAACAGTATGTTCGTTTCTTTTAGAACGCAATTCGGCATTTT